AATTATGTCATAAAGTTAAATATCCAATTCTGTATATTAAAGAAATACTAAAAATTTCTAGTAAAATTTATATTGATATACAATTATTTAACTTTTTTCTAAAAATTTTAATGCAACATATTTTTCAAAACAATAATATGTTATGATTCATCTTTATTATGTATAATATAAAAATAAATGTTATATACAGGGTGTCACTTAATTGGCGTCCACTATTTACAATACATAGCAACATTCTTCGTGGAAAACTAAGTCCTGAGCCATTTTTTTCTATGCATAATAAAGCCGTAATTACTAATAATGTTAAGCCATAATAACACTAATCATTATTACTAATAATGGTAAATCGCACGTGTGGCGATGTGCGTGAGCGCACTATGCAAGGCACATGCTTATGGCAAGGCGCTATCCTTTTGCGCGCGCCTTGACATGCCTTTTTTATCGTTAATAATTATTATGCATTATAAGAAAAATGGCTCAGGACTTTTTGACTCAGTTTTCCACGAGGAATATTGCTATGTAAATAATGGGCGCCAATTAAGTGACACCCTGTATATTAATAATAAATTAAGAATATAAGAGTTTATAAAACTATTATAAGAATATAAGAGATAATAAGCATTTATTATGAATTGAATTAATTCGATATTACGTGCTTAATTTTATCTACTATTAATTAAAGGCAATCAATATTACAATCATTCTTGCAAATTTATATTTATGTAAATATTTATTATTTTATATCACGAGTAATTATTATTGATCAATTTTTTTCTCTCGAAATCCTCCTATTCTTTTATCAAAAAATATTCGCACGCGTCTGAATATATTCCAAAATGTAAAAGAGTTTTAAAAACGACTCCTATGTTTTTACTGCAGCAGCTATATCGAATTATGACTTCAGAAATATAATATAATTTTTTCCAAATAAATAAATTTTTTAAAATATTGTATTCAATAACAAATTAGTAATAAATTGCATCAAAACTCCTTTCTTTTATTTCTTCATCTTGCATTAATAAATTATTATATTATGACTTATCTGCACTTGTCCTATATTTTCAACGAAAATGATCTTGTAAACGATTTTATTGTAAAGACAAATTACAGTTATTATTAATTAAAAAATGAATAAAAAATTTTTTACACCTGGCTCTTAATTAGCCCGCTTTTTTATATTATAAAAAAATTTCTCCGACATACTTTACTAATTCACATTATAAACATGGTGGCATTAAAAAAAATTATGCATATATTTATTCTGTATTTTGCAAGAAAAAAGTTCATGAGTAATTTTTCGTTTCTAATTCTCTATATGAAATCATAATTCTCTATATGATATCAATAAACCAGTAGTTTAAGATTACGCACTTGTTTACAACCAAAAATTATTTTAAACCAGTTTCTTATAAATTTTTTCATGGTGAAAACGATGCCACAAATCGCAAGAAATAGCCTTTTTGTGATATTTGAGAATTTTGCAAAAAAAGGTTAATGTTATCTGAAAAGTCGGATCAAATATCATGAATGTATTGTTCATCCTCTGCATTTTATAGAGGATAAACAATATAACAATATAACAATTCATTACATCTGATGAGAATTTACAGAATTTAATATTAACTTTTTTTCACAAAAATTCAAATATCGCAAAAAGTCATTTTTGCATATTAAATCCCAATTATCAGAAATCTGACGTGCTGGTGAAAATTGCTTTGCAATATCGTTTTCAGCATCCAAAATCTGTAACAAACACCTTCTTTAGTTTAAAATAATGAAAAATTTTTTGTAAACTAGTGCTATCAAGAGAAAATTTATAATGTTTTTCAATCTCATTGCAAAACTGTTCCATAGTGTAATGTAAAATATCATAGGCAATTTTCCAGTGATTAAAAACTATTTCAAAGATTTTTATTTTAGATCGTAATGGCATGATTCAATAATAGTCCGAAAACTTATTAACCGATAATTCAAACTTGCTAACTGTATTACTGATGTTATAAATTATGATATTGGATAAGATATTAATATGTAAATGATATGTATATGTATATATATGTATATATATACTGAACGCAATCTTATGTCAGAAATTGAGAAAAAAATATTTTCATAAAATGATGATCAACGCGACGAAAAACACATGGCAAAAATTTACATATTTTAGACTTTCAAGTTATAATGTCTTTGTTCATACGGGATGTATGGAGCAAAAATAAAAACACTTTATGTAAAATGGATGAAGTGTGTTATCCCAAACTCTCTGTCAATGAAGCTTATTAAGAACTTTATCTGTTCAGCCATTCATTATTAAGATCCGATAACATAATTAAAATCCCTAAGATATTTTCAACTAGATGGCTCGCGTATAAATATATTAATACAATCTACTTCGCTATTGTTGCGTATGATTTGACACGAGACACTGCAGCATCTTTTGATCAAAGTTGACGAACGATATCGCACAAACTTCGCACATTCAAGTTTGTAATTATATATTTTGCACACATAATTTGCTATTGATTTTCATAAGTCTGATATTGATTTTTACACATTTGATGTTATTTTATTGTTTCTTATATATTTTTACTATGTACACTATGACAATCAGCTGATACTGACAAGTTGATTACTAATATTAAATTTTAATAACAAAAATTAATAAGCAAATTATGTAATCTTTTTTTTTAATGATTAATCATTATTAAGGTGGCGTAATATTTATTTTCATTGCACAACTAAAATTTTAATTCATCATTTTTATGTATAAATGTTATGGTATATCATTGAAGAGCTGATTAATAAATTGTATAGTAACAGCAAATTAATATTAGATTAATAATATTTTTTAACAAAATAATTAATTAACTATTTCAATTGTTAAATTAGCCGTCTGTCTAAAAAAGGTTACATAATTTGCATATAATAGTTAAAATTTAGTATTCTGTAATCAACTTATCAATATCAGCTGATTGCTGATGTAGTGTATATGTACATTGTATACTCACACATAAAAAAACAATAAAATCAAATTAAATGTGCAAAAATCAATATCAGACTTATGAGAATCAATAATAAATGCCAAATCTCGGTAAATGTATAATTATAAACTTGGATGTGTGGTACCAGTTAAGCCTAAATATGTAATTTCTACAATATCAATAGTAGACTTTGAATTATAACTCAAAAACTATTGTGATCTCATTTTCATATTAACATTAAGATTTTTATTTTATTGTAGTCCTAATAAGATATTAAGTGTTTTTAATATTTAAATAGCCCAGAAAATTATATTAAAATATTGTATGATAACTATGGAATTATATAAGCATTTAATTATGTATACATACATATGTGTGTATCTAAATATCGTAATATATTTATTTTTCAATAATTTCACCTTAATAAATTGTTTGCATAAAATATTGAGATAAATCAATTGGTGTAAAAAAAATATAGTCGTGTGATTTAAAAAAAAATTTGCAATGTGCAACTGTATACTTTTTTTAATAACTATGTTTTTCTTACATTAATTAATTTATTTCATTATTCTGTGCAGAAAATTATTAAGATTATCGAAAAAATGAATATATTACGATATTTCATATTTTTTGCCAAAATATGTCAAGATAAAGCATAAAATATTTCATAAATCATTTATTTTCGATTATTTAATTCTAACCATTTTTTAAGTCAAATATTACGACGAATCAATTTATGTAAAAAAATTATAGTGCTTCTGTTCGAAAAAGTAATGATCTCGAAATTTCGAAAATGCCTTCACCTAAAATGAGATTATGTTTCCCAGGTAGCAGACTGACGTTATTAAACGTCAAAATGACGTCGAATTTTGACATCGAATGACGTTATTTTGACGTTTAACGACAGTTTGCTATCTGGATTATAATAAGATGCACCCTTCGACATCTTACGAATTTTGTATGAAACACTTTTCGATAGTCTGGTTATCGAGAAAATTCAATCCGAAAGTTAAAATGGGACACCTTGTTTATATGATTTTTTTGTAAATATTATGCACAAAATAAAAAAAATTGTTAAATAAAGCTTATTTTCTCAGTCTTTTCTTGCTTCTTCTTTCTTTCTAATTATGATTATAAATATGCTTTATACAAAATAGATTAATTTTTGTTTGAAAAATATCTGACAAAATACACACATAACACAATAAATTAGTAAAATTAATATTGATATCAAAAATGCTCATTCACTTAAAGAAAGATATTTGGTAGAGATTTGGAAACAGAATGAATGTGATGTTCAAATATATCTCATTGTCAAATGTATTAAAACATAGTTTATACTATGTTTCTAATAAACTTGCATATGTATGTATGTATGTACATGCACATTTTTACCCATTTTGCATATATTAATAGAAATGTTAATTGCATACATAATAAACATTTCATTTATATTTCTAACTGAATTAAACTCATTAATTATATGCATAATTTACAATACTTTTTTAGCTACTGAGGCTAGCAAATATATAACATAAAATATAAAAAGAAAATGTTTTATTTTTTTTTCTTATAATAAATAAGCACTTTAACACCAGAAATTGTCCAATGACCAAAATAGAAACTTTCTTATTACATTGAAATGTGCATAAATCATGTTCTATATGTTGATATGCCAGCAGCTATTGAGAAAAAGTATTTTGTAAGTAAATCATGTTTATAATTTCATGCAAAGGACTCTTGCAGCTCAATATACAAAGTGTCCCAGACCTATTATTGTATAACCTGTTAATGGTAGATTCCTAGGTTATTTGAAGACGATTTTTCCTCAGTGAAAACGTCGAAACACTAACAATTTTCAAGCTATAAGCAATTGAAAATAAAGGATTTTTCGCAAACTAAACCTTGTGGAAATAAAATATTAACAAAACCACACTCTTTAGTTAATTTTCAGGTAAAATTTGCTTTAATAGAATTTTAATTTTAGGTTCAGTTACAAAAATACATGATGGCAAAAAAATGATGACCTCGACATTTTCGCTGAGGAAAAAAATCGTCTCCAAATGATCCCAGTTATCTGTCATTAATAGGTTATACGGTAGATCTTTTTTTATGAAGAGTAAACCTTTTATAGGTATCCAAAACCTTCGGGAAAAAGAGACAGTAGATTATGCGGGGCTTCCTTTCTCCGAGACACTGTGTAATATAAATCGAAATAATCATATATACGAAAAATTTTGAAAATCAAAATTTTTGAAAAAAATTGCTTTTTAACCTAATGCCATCCTCTATCATGATGCGAATCTTGTCCTGTTTGGTAGAAGCGCCGTGGTTAGCCAACGTCGTGAACTTAGCCGCGATGAGATCCTGCAGTAGATCGCCATCTCCGTGAAAGCCGTTCGAGGCGAATCTGCCGGCCGGCAGCTGTTCTTTCTCGGCGGCGGCGGTGATGGCAGCGTCACCATTCTCCGCGCAAATGTCACCGTGCTCCTTTTTAATCCGTTTATCATCGAACATATTCTCCCCCTCCTCCACTTGCCCCTCGCCTCTTCCGGGTACTTTGCAGGGTGTTTTCGTCCGATCATGACTGTCAGTACTCATCGTAACCTAAATTCGCCCCCGAAATCCCGCCCCGTCCCGCCACGGTGTTTTAACTCACATAAGTGTAATAACGCGGAAACGTATCACCTGTCGGTGCACGACCAGCACGGCGAGCTACCATTTTGTTTTGGCCGATTGTCAGCTGGGCTACTCCGGGTTAGCATCCCGGCGCGCCATTATTATTATTATTATTCTCTCCTTTAAAAGCTTCGAAAGAAGAGACTGTTCCGCGTGAAACAACTCGCCGAAGCGCGAGTATTGTGTATAGGGTCACGCAAATTTGTCATAACGGCACTGCCCGTGGTAGCCACATCGTTGAAAACGTTCGAGTCGAGAACGCCGAGGGTCGAATGCGAACCAGGTAAAAACAATTCGGCGCGACACCCACTTATAATGGGTCCACGATCGTCTTCTCGACTAATCCATTCTCCGTTACTCGCGATCCGCATTTGTTCTTACTCCATCTCCACCATAGAACACGCGCTTCGTATTCGAACTTCGAACGAATGTATCAGAAGCTACTGAACTTTATATCACATTGGCATAGAGCGCGCTCCGTTTGATATTCTCTCGAAAGTTTTGAATCGGTTGGTCGACGGGCAGACTCCAAAATAAAGTCACTAATTGATACTAGAGACCTCGCGTGGTAACAGCGCGAAACTCAAGTTTCAGGATTACCAACAGATTACTAGGGAAATCTAGCTTCGATTATACTAAAGAATATAGACGAGTACAGAAGCACGGTTCTCGGTACCCCGCGAGTCGCACGAGTTGGAATATGTTGCTATAGTTTACGTCACGTATACTGTACTATCTATAGCATTTCACAATCAGTACAGTATACGTGACGTAAACTATAGCAAAGTATTCCAGCTCGTGCATGCGATTCGCGGGGTACCGAGAACCGTGCTTCTATACAAACTATCGCAATTAAGGCCCTTGCGCAATGCCAGGCAACAGGCAATAAGAATAAAAATAGAAAATATCAATTAATCGGAAAAGGAGATAGATATTATTCTCTGTTCCTATTGGTGGATATTTTCTATTTTTTATTCCTATTGCCTGTTACCTAGTATTGTGCAAGGGCTTTTAGTAACAAAATTCTATCATTTTCACTCCACGACTACGCGGTAATTCAAAATTTATGTATGTTTTGTATAAATGCATTTTATAATTTTATTTATTGTAACTGAGGGGAAATATAATCGTAAATAAATATTTTTATTTAATGAGTTGGGATCTTGAAAAGCTTTTATGGTGATGCTTAACCCCTACAACACGAAATATTACTAAAATATTGCATCTCAGCAAACACCAAATATAAATGTTATATAACTCAGGAGTAACATGTAATATAACAGATATAACATAATGAAAATATAAATATTATATTACTCAGGACTAACATTTAATATAACAAATGTTACACTATTAATATTATAGCTACGTAACTTTATTTTATATATACAATGTAACTGTGTTATATTGCTAATAATATTACTTTGTTATTTATATGTTATATAAATGAACATTAATATAACTGGTATGTCGCGTGTTACATAACAATTTTTATGTTTATGTCATATTGGTATAATATAATTTGTATTAAGAAGGATATATTTATCTCCGCCGCCTTTTCCGCTAGTGCGCACTTGTGCAGGGAAGAAGAGATCCGACACGTGTGTCATCGTGTGTGTCCTGTGTGTTAGTCTTTTTACGCAATGTCTAATAAAGTGCAATTTCAATCAGAGGTAAGCTTATTTGTTTATTAAATAAACGTTTGATATAAGTTATGGGAAGCATTTGCATATATTTTAATTAACATGTTACGGCCTTCAACGACTGTGATTGTAAAATAACCTAAAACCTTATAAGCAGAATATTAAATATATAATGATAAATTATTTATAAATATATATTTATACATATTTAAAAAATATATATGTTTAAATAATTTATCATATTCTGCCTATAAAGTTCTAGGTTATGTTACAATTATACAATAAATATAATTATATTATTAACATACTTGAACATAAAACAGTTATACATAATATATTGTTGGATGGGAAGTTATAATTATAAGATCTATATATTGCACAATGCTACAGACAACAAATAATAAGAACAGAATCAAATAACGTAGGAAAGAAAGAGAGAAGAGATATTTCTTGTCTTTTCTTTCTACGTTATTTCCTGTTCTTATTGCCTATTGCCTGTGGCATTGTACAATAGATCTTATAGTATATAATAATTTAAATTTTTACTGAACAATATAACTGTTATGCACAAGGCATGTTGTATTATATTATAGTAACATTATTGAGTAGGAAATTATAATAATTAATAACAGTTATTGTATATTATTGGTACTTTGTGTTTTTGTTAGGAGATATAAGAAAATATATAAAAAAATAATTATTATCTTTATTATGTTGCAGCAATCTGTCACAGGTACTTATATATATATATATATATATATATAGAGAGAGAGAGAGAGAGAGAGAGAGAGAGAGAAAACGCTGTCATATGGATTATTATATATTATATATATATGCGCATTACTATTAACATAGTATCTGTTGGTGAAAGATAAAGATTTGCAGCAGATAACACCAATATGGTTTGGTTCCAATAGAGACCCAATAATATAATCAACAATTATATTAGGTAAGTTTCTAATAATAAGATAATGTATATTTTTATGCTAAGTGAAAAATTAAGCTTTTTGGTCAAATATATTTATTTTGTATATTGTACTAGTTAGACATATTAAAATTTATCAATCATTTTGCAAGTACATTTTACGTTTATGACAGAATGCTGTAATAATTACATTATTGCAGCATTCTGTCATAGAGACGTAAAATATATTTTAATATTTTTGATTTCTAACTAGTAAAACTATAGAACAAATCTTTAGAATTAAGCTACTTTATTGCATTAGATCAATATATATATAGATTTTAAATCATTTTTATTTCAATTAGAACAGCTTTTAATAAATTATTTTTTAATACTTTTAAAAAAACATTTTACAATTGTTTATTATTGATGTGTTAATAATAAGTTGATTTATTATACTTCTTTTATATAGATGAGATTGTACAGAAAGAAATCTATTTACTTAAATATATAATAATAAATAAAGATTTATATAAATTCAGAATTCTTATTAATTTTATATTCATAATGGATTTAAAGTTTATTATATTTTATCTTTATTTTATCTATCTAATTATATAGAATTTATTACATCATATAAAATTAACAAAAAATAGATTTTTGTAAATTTGTTTCTTTTTATAATTTATTAAAACTGTTATTTAATGAAAATTAAAATTTAATTTATCTTTTTTTTTATCTTCAATTTTTGAGGGTTAGTTTCTTTCTACAGATTCTTATCTATATATTACTACTTTTTCCTAATAAAGTTTTTTGATACTGAGAATAACGAATAATGAGGTTCGGAAGATAATCGTGGAAAGATTATATGTATAATAGATATGTGCATTCAAATATTTTATATATATGTATAAATGTGTGTGTGTATGTATATGTATGTATATACATGTAAATATATATATACATATATATATATATATATTTTTTTTCAGCATTTATATAAGAAAAACTTGTTCATCATGCCTAAAGAATTACGATATTTATCTAAAAGACGATATAATCAATTGATTAATAATGAATTAAATACTGCTTGTACCAATTTTTTTCTCAACTCCTCTTCAAACGCAAGAAAACTTTAATATACAAGGTACGTTATTTTTCAAAACAATTTTAATTTAATTTTATAATATCTTTGTCTTATATATACGTACAATATTAGCTATAACATTACAGAAAACTTAAAAGAGATAAAACGTTTGGTGGCAACATGCAATGTAACATTAAGAGATAACACTGAACGATTGAAAAAAATTGAAGATGTAATCAGGCGGAGCTATCCAATACAACAATCTATGGAAAGCAATAATTTTATTGTGGAGTTTTTTCTTCTCAACCAAATTGAAGATATAAGAAATATAGAAAATATATTGAAAACAAATAAAGAAGCAGAAACGCTACTCGTAAGTTTTTAAATTTTTTTACAATGTATGTTTTTATTATCGTTAATATTATTATATAATTCGGCAACACTTGTGATTTTGGTAAAGGTAAAGATGAGCGGTCCTTCTCACCGATTTTTTTGAAATTTTTTTACAAGTAGATTTTGATACGTAGAAAAACTTTTTCCTCTGACAAAATTGTCGCTCTGCCACGCGAAACGAGATATTAATTTTCAAGGATAACTACTTTTTAATTGACTTCTTTGCTCCGGCTGCACACACGTACACACATATACAGCGGAGGGGTGTAAGGGGAGATAAAGTTTCTTCGATTTTAAATAGAAATAGATAATGGAAATAGACGCGCGGATACGTTGCAATTGCCTCTTATTAATTAGAAGGCAAAGCAATGTCTATCGTGGCGCGAAACGCTCATTCCTCATGATAGGGATTCTATTTCCTCAATGGAGTTATTTTTTAGCGGGCCGCAGGCCGGTACGGCGAGCGTAGCGAGCCGTATCATGTCTATCTTAGAGTGTTTAGGTCGATGCCTAAACTCTCTAGTGTGATTGCGATTGACCAGGCGACGACCTAAACACTCTAAGATAGACATAATACGGCTCGCTACGCTCGCCGCACCGACCTGCGGCCCGCTGAAAAATAACTCCATTGGGGAAATAGAATCCCTATCATGAGTATTAGGCGCTTCGCGCCACGATAAACATTGCTTTGCCTTTTAATTAATAAGAAGCAATCGTGCCATACAGGTGAGAAAGTATATGCGTGATTACAGTGTGTTCCGTTCTCCTGCGAGGGGCTCACACTGTATCCACGAATACACTTTATGCATAGAAAGTTTCGCGCACTTAAGGCCTAAGCACAATGGAAAATATAAGGAATAAGAACAAGGAATAATGTAGGAAAAAAGAGAGAAAAAGATATTTCTCTGTCTTCTTTTTTACGTTATTCCCTGTTCCTATTCCTTATATTTTCTATTGTGTTTAGGCCTTTATGCTCAGGCACTCCTACCGGCGTGATGGTGCAGGGGGATGGGGTGCGAGGGGGGCCTTCGGCCCCTCGCACCCCTTTCGCATTCCCCGCATCGCTCCGCTGTGTGTGTGTATGTGCAGGCAGAGCGAAGAAGTAGTTAAAAAGTGGTTATCTTAAAAAATTAATATCTCGTTTCGCATGGCAGAGCGACGATTTCGTGAAAGGAAAAAGTTTTTCTACGCATCAAAATCTACTTGTAAAAAAGTTTTTAAAAATCGGTGAGAAGAACCGCTGATCTTCACTTTTACCGTAATTTTTTCATAACTTATAAAAAGTCAAGTATTTAAACAAAAAAATCATAAATGAGTTTTAAAAATATATATTTTAGAGAGGAGCGGTAAAAGCTACAAAATTGTTTTTGTTTCTATATTTTTTGTTACTAAAAAAATTACATATAATTGAAAATTGGTTATAAAGTTTTTTCAATAGTTTTGTTTTACTTTAAAAGAATATAGACGAAACATTATTCGACAAAAATCAACGAAAAGGTATTATTAAATAGGTTTACTTGTTAACTTTACTAATGGTTTTATAAAAAATATATGTGAGCTTTTTTATAATATTTCAAATTGATTGTATTTAAACTTATTTAAAAAAAATAAATTTTAAAATTATAAAATATTTACAAAAAAAAAATTTTTTGTTTTATTTATTTGCATTACTTTTTTCAAGAATTTTTAGAAATTTTAACTTTTTATGAGATGTAAAATAATCGTAAATGTTTCCAAACTTTCGAACAGTCATATATAAATATATATTATGATTTTTTTAATATAAAAACTTTATGATAAGCAAATATATTAACAAACAAAAAATATTATTTTGGAGAAAAGATTTTTATCGAAAATTGGAGGGAATAATCATAAAGACAATATTCATCGGATTTTAAAGAATATTTTCACAAATAAATGTGCCATGGATTGTTCCTGGAAAGAGAAAAAAGATAATTTTAAAATTTGTAATTTGCAGTTAATAAAAACAATAAAAAGTAAGTTTCAAGATATAAACTATTAAAAAAATTTTTAATTTTTAAATATAAAGTATTACAAAATATCTATCAAAATTGTTTTATTATTTTTCTTTAAGGAGAAGTTGTTTCACACTACCCAACATTAACGGAAACAGAAACAGAAAACATTATGGCGGAATGGTTTCGTTTTGCGAAGCAACAATATCACAGAGAAACGAAAAATAATAAGGAAAACGTACCTGATAAGATAAGAGATGTTTAAACTGATAAATAATAAAAAATAATGTTAATTATTACTTTGAGATCTGAGCAGTTATTATTATTTAGTTACAAAACTTATATTTACAAGAGTTTATGATAATATATTATCATTAATTATAGCATTGTCACTTTGTGTACTTTGTACGACATATCAAATTTTTTTTTCATAATTATAGTTTATGTGTATTTTAGTTTATGTGTAATTCATTTATAAATATATATATATATATATATTAAGAATTTAACAAGGCTCTGTAATATAAATATAAATATAAATTGAGTGTCAAACAGGCAATAAGAGCCAAATCGTCGATGACAGTGCGTTATCCCAACAAAATTAAATGTTTTCGTTAGAATTAAAAACCTGTGCACAAGGCACTAAATTTTACTTGGTCACGGCCAAGATTTAAAATTGGAATAATCTCTACAAGAGATTTAATTCCATACATCCCCTGTTCCCCCCTTAAGTTTTGTTGGGACTATACTAATTCGCGGATTCTCATCCCCATTAATCCTACTTCTCAATAACATACCTATACGATTTATATTACGGTCTTCGCGTTTCACAGGAATCCTTACAGTTCGGCCAGCCTGACCCTCGTGTTCGACCCTGAACAACGCTCACATATATGTCGATACAAATATAATTAGATATATATATATTTTTCAAAAAGAACAAATGAAGTACACTTATAACTATACTACATAATAAATTTTGACTTATAATATAATAATTTTGGTATTTGTATTCACGCGTCACAGTTCTCATCGTTATTATTATTACTGTCCTCGTTTTTGTTATTGTCCTCGTCTTCGTTTTCCTTTGTTTCTATCGGTTTAGAGTAATCACCTATTCAGATCCACGGTTTTAATTTATCTGATGAAAGTATTGCGTCGTTGTATGGTTTATGCGTACGATTATACCCTTTCTTATCCGCGACTATGTAACGATTTTTTTTAAGTACGGCTTTAATTTAATACGGTTCCTTATATTTGGGAAGTAACTTTTGATTCACGCCGGGTTTAACATTCATACTTCTTATCAAACTAGATCGCCTACACTATATAATGACGACTTTTTGTGTTTCTTATCGTAGTATGCTTTGTTATATTCTTGAATTTTTTTATTCGCTAGTCGCACACTGTTGCGTAGGGCAGTGCGCTTTTCCACAAAATCTGTCTGGATCTTGGTAAAGGCGTTTATAAATTCGCATAAAGATCTATCGCTATGTCTTCGCTGGTCATAGTCCAATAATAGTTTACTCGGCGTTGTAACAATGGACTTGTGATGCGTATTATTTACGACATATTATGCGTCGCCCAATTTTGTTTTCTATTTGTTCGGATCTTCCGTTATTTTTGCTAGAGTGCTTTTTAGAAAGCTATTTACCCTTTCCACTTGCCCGTTCGCCCACGGGGAAGCTACGGCGACTTTGACATGTTGTACATTTACATACGTCTTCTAGGAACTGGTCAAAATTCTGCGAGGTGAAGCACGAGCCTCTATCACTAATTATACGCCTTGGTACTCCGAACATATTAAATAAGAACGAAAGGCGTTCTTCAACTTCTTTTTCATTGGTCGTTTTGGTAGGTATTAACCAGTTATACTTGGCAAACGCGTCATCAACCATTAATACATATTTATATCGATTGGACGCCGTCTCTAATGGTCCGAAATGATCCACGTGTATAGTTTCGAAAGGGGTAGTGTTTTTATCCACTATCTGCAATTCTCTTTCGCGGTGTTGCGTATAGAGAGAGAATTGGAGACAGATGACGCAATTTTCAATGTGAGATTTTATTTTGTTTTTCATACACGGAAACCAATAATGCCCTTATATTCCCTTCAAGGTATTTTCCATCCCTACATGATCCGTCTCGTCATGGTAGACGCGTATAATATTTTCCGTTATTGTTTCCGGTACTGCGAATAAGGATTGATTGCTATGGATTTTGAAAATCATGCCGTTTATTAAAGTGAAATGTTTGCTCCCTTTCAACTCAATTTCCTCGGTGAGTTTTTGTAGGTTCGGGTCCAACAGTTGTCTATACATAAGCTTATCCTCGAAGGAGAGTGCATTTATCACATATATGTTACGACTAAGCGCGTCCATGTGTGTCATTTTGTCTCCCCAGTGCACGGCCTCGATATTATAGTTTTGAAAATCCAAACTCTACCGCGCGATTCTAGGGTTAATTTCAATTTTCTTTAAAACTAATACAAGGGAGTTACAGTGGGTTACGACCTTGAAGAGGATACCTTGCAGATATATGTAGAACCTTTCTAACGCTTTGACAATTGTTAATGTCTCGAGTTTGTTGCTATGATATTTCTTTTCAATATCCGAGGTAGCCTTACTAAAATAAGCTACCGGCGCTAATTTGCCATCTATTTGTTTTTGGAGTAAAATTGCTCCAAAACTAACGCCACTCGCATCTGTGTAGAGTTCCGTTTCCGCCGAAGGATTGTGCAGGCACAGTACCGGATAATTAGTTCTTTTTTTAATGTCTGGAACGCCTGTACACATTCCTTGTCGAAGACAAAATTCGCCAATTTTCTCATCAGCTTGTGCAATGGCTGCACCTTTAAGACGTAGTCGCGAATGAATCGCCGAAAATAATTAGTTAAACCAAGAAAACCTTACAGGTGTTTAACCGTTCTCAGCTGGAGGAAATCTAGTATGGTTTGCGTATGTTTGTCGCTCATTGTAATTTTTTCCTGGGAAACAATATAGCCTAGATATTCTATTTTTGTTTTTAAATATTGACATTTTGAAAAATTTAATTCAAACCCGTATTGTTTTAATATCATTAATATTTGTTTCAAATTATTTAAATTTTCTTCAATAGAGCGGGTAACAATAACTATATCATCCATATATATTAATATTTTCTTTTTGCGAATCAACGGCTGAAATATTTGCAAGATTCTCTTCTGGAATTCGGCGGGTGAATTTGCGAAACCAAAGGGCAACTTTACATACTCGAATTGCCCGTCCGGCGTAGCAAACCAAGAAAACCTTACAGGTGTTTAACCGTTCTCAGCTGGAGGAAATCTAGTATGGTTTGCGTATGTTTGTCGCTCATTGTAATTTTTTCCTGGGAAACAATATAACCTAGATATTCTATTTTTGTTTTTAAATATTGACATTTTGAAAAATTTAATTCAAACCCGTATTGTTTTAATATCATTAATATTTGTTTCAAATTATTTAAATTTTCTTCAATAGAGCAGGTAACAATAACTATATCATCCATATATATTAATATTTTCTTTTTGCGAATCAACGGCTGAAATATTTGCAAGATTCTCTTCTGGAATTCGGCGGGTGAATTTGCGAAACCAAAGGGCAACTTTACATACTCGAATTGCCCGTCCGGCGTAGCAAAGGAAAAATATTTGGTATCGTCCGGATGAACGTCGATCTGATGGAATCCGTCCTTCAGATCAAGCACTGTAAACACTTGCTTTCCTTGCAAACCGTTAAGTTGGTCTTCGATAATAGGGAACGGAAACTTTTGTTTATGTACCCTCTGATTCAACGGACGGAGATCCACGCACATTCTTATATCTCCGTTTTTTTCTTTACCGGCACCACTCGGGCACAATAAGACGAGCTACTTGGTATTATTATTCCTCGTTTGAGCAGATCATCCGTTATTTCCCGCAATTTTAATCTCTCATTATAAGATACTCGCCGGGGCGCGTAAGCGTAAATAAAGTCATCCTTTATATTGACCCGTACTGTGTAATTATCTTTAACCGTCTCGAGAGGCATATCGTCAACCTCGTCGAACCGATTTTTTTTCTCATCTCACTGTTCACATTGTTTTCCAAATTACTTAATATTACATTGCGCCAATTCCACGTTTTTATTGCGTCTATACATAAAATTTTCTCCGTTTTGTGGTTATGACTCTCCGTAATCTCGCATTTTCAATGACCCGGTCTATAAGTAACTGTCAAGTCGTTCCCAATAAAAAAGCTCTACCTAACAATATACTTTATAGTCGTGTCCGGCACCACCAAAATTTGTATCTTTAAGTCCCGACATATATCCTTGATCCGCGCAACGCTTTCTACCGCTCCTAATATACAAATCGGAGTATTACTTATGCCTTGAAAATTTTGATTTGAGGGTGACGGATCTAACTTTACGTCACGTTGAAAGCCGTTATAAACTGAATTTTTTACAAAGCTAATTCGGCTACCTGAGTCTACTAAAGCTTTCAGAAAGCAGGCTCGATTATTTAAACTTTCTAAGCGTAAGTAAGGTATCTCCGATACTTTTTCGCTTACGATAGTCGCGATGTCGGCCGGCTTCGCGATCGTTTTGGCCGCTGTCTTTGGTTGCTCTGACGCTCTCGACGGACATTGGGACCTCGTGTGTCCCGGTTGTTTCGATCGGCAATCTTTCGCAATATGGCCTTTCCGCTGGCAATTTCGGCACACCAAGTCCTTGTAAGCGCCTTCCGCTTTTGCTGCAGTGCTTCCCGTCTGTCTCGAAGATTGAAATTCTGGGCCGCCGGTGACCACCGTGGTCTCTGTCACTCGCCGCATGTGCTCGATAAAATCGGATAGCTCTCTGCTCGGTTATCTGTCGCAGCGACCTGGATCAGGGGCAATCTTATGCCGGCCGCTGTCAAATCAATTTGATCCTTCTCCGATAGATCTAAAAATTGCATTAGATTTAGTTTATCGTTTGCGTAATCGACAAACTTCTCTTTAGCGTGCAACCAAACTCGTTCGTTTATTCTCGACATAGCTACTGTAAATGAGACCTTGTGCTAGAAATATTCCATTAACCCCTTTTTCACCTCGGTCCACGAAAAGATCACGCTCGTGGGCTGGCGATTATACCAGTCTAGTCCAGCTATCCCTATGAGACGGCTGGTAGTCGCTAGCAGTATAATATTATCGCCGATCTCGTACAAACCGCCAACGTAGTCGACTCGTTCGAGCTATCTGCTCACGTTGTCCCTTTCGGAGAAAAAAGTAGAATCATCCTTTTCTCTTATCCAAACCAATCCACCCATT